GAGGGGACACGCGGCTGCGGAGGGGGTTGGGGGGGGACCGCGGCGGCCGAGATCCCCCCCCGGGGGGGGTGGAGGGGGCCATGACCCCCAGAGCCAGGGAGGGGGGAGCGGGCGGCTGGGGGTGCCCGTTTCCCCCCAAAAAAACGACCCGGACCCTTCCTCCCCCCCGGTGAGAACTTCCCCGGGAAGTGGTCAGAGCCACCGCCCCTCCCCCACGCCGCGGGGCCACGGGGCTCAGTCCCCGCTCCCCCACCCCTGGGGGCCCATAGGTGCTGAGTTCCCCCCCCCCGGCCCGCCTGGACCCCCAAAAATCCTGCGCCCCAATTCCCCCCCTCCCCGCATTTGGCCGGTGCTGTTCCCCCCAGAGCCGCCAGAAGGCGCTCCAGCCCCCCCGGGGGGGTTGTGTTACCGTGACCTTTGGGGAGGGATAAAAATAGCCCCAAAGGTGGGGAGGGGGGGTCACACACACCCGGGGACCATCGTCAAGTGCCACCAGCCCCGGACACTCGGGGCCCCCCCCGGGGGCTGAACTTGGCCGCGGTCCCTTCGGGGGGGAGGGGCGAGGGGAGGAGGATAAATAGTCCCGGGGGACCCCCGTGGGGGAGGGGAAGGTCTCAGGCACAGGCAGACCCCAGTGAGCGGAGCCCGGACCCCCGGGAACCCCCTGCGGGGCCCCCGCCCCAGGCCCCTCTGGGCCTTCTGGGGGGCAGGAGGGGGGGGTGGTTCTGAGGGGCACCCGGACACTGGGGACCCCCGTGGGATGGGGGGGGTGTGGGGCCACCTCCGGGGCACCTGGACACGGGGGTCACTACCCCGGGAGATGGGGAGGGGTCTGCAGGGTCTGGGGTCAGGCCGGGACCCCCCTGACCTTGACCTTGCCCCCCAGGTCCCCTCCACTGCAGCCATGTCCATCCAGAAGATCGTGGCCCGGGAGATCCTGGATTCCCGCGGGAATCCCACGGTGGAGGTGGATCTGTTCACAGCCAAGGGTACGGAGAGGGGGCGGGGGGTGACACGGGGGTTGGGAGGCTTTGGGGGGACTTGGAGGAACTTCAGGGTTGTGGTGGGATGTGGAGGGAAGATAAGGGGGTGCTGGGGACATGGGGGGGCCCAGGCTGGGGGTTGACTGTCCTCTGCTCCCCCAGGACGGTTCCGGGCGGCAGTTCCCAGCGGAGCCTCCACCGGGATCCACGAGGCCCTGGAGCTCCGGGATGGGGATAAGAGTCGCTACCTGGGCAAAGGTTGGACCTGAGGAGGAGAGGGGGAAGTGGGCACAGCCAGGGACCCCAAAAACCAATCAGGGACCCCCAAAACCCTGTAGACCCCAACAAGGTCCCTGAAAACCCAGCTGGGTCCCCCAAGAGCCAACAACTCCCCCAGTGACCCCCCAGTGGTCCAACTGGACCCTCCAAGATTCTACAACACCCCCGAGAGCCATCTGGGTCCTTCAAGAGCTGCCAGGACTCAAATGGGTCCCCCAAGACCCAACCAATGGACTCCCCCCAATGACCCAACAACCCCCCAAGACCCAACTGCATCCTCTAAACCTCCCCCAGTGCCCCGAAGACACAGCAGCCCCCCCAATCCCTCCCCCGTCAGTCCCTCCCAACCTCCCACCCTCATGTGTTTGGTGGGAGGGGGTGACCCCCAAGGTCAGAGGTCACACCCCCTGCCCTGACCCCCCAGGGGTGCTGAAGGCCGTGGATCACATCAACAAGACCCTGGGCCCAGCTCTGGTGGAGAAGGTGAGTGTGGGGGAGGAGAGGGGTGGGGGAGGATTGGGGGTCACTTGTGGGGCAGGTGGGAGGCTGACACCTCCCCCCATGCCCCAGAAACTCAGTGTGGTGGAGCAGGAGAAGATCGACAAGCTCATGATTGAGATGGACGGCACCGAGAACAAATGTGAGCTCCCCTCACCCCCCCACCTTCCCCCAGACCCTGGGAAACCTCAAACTGAGCCCCTCCTTCCCATCCCTCAGCTAAATTTGGGGCCAATGCCATCCTGGGGGTCTCACTGGCCGTCTGCAAGGCTGGGGCAGCTGAGAAGGGGATCCCCCTGTACCAGCACATCGCCAACCTGGCCGGCAACACTGAGCTCATCCTGCCTGTGCCGGTACCCTGGAGCATCCCAGAGGAGCAGGAGGGACTGGGAGCACAGTGGGGGATTTATAGGGGCACAAATGGGTCTTGGGGAGGGGTTGGTGGATGTCTGAGGAGGATTTTAGGGCATCCCACCAAGGTTTTGGGGCGGTGTTGGTTGGGTTTGGTGGGACCTGGTTGTGTTTGTGGATATCGTTTGATTTATTGGTTCTTGGGGGGGTCTTTGAGTCTTTGAGGAGGGTCTTTGGGTACGGGGGGGACCCGGTTGGGTCTTGGGGGAGTTGAGTCTTTTGGGGTTCGTGGGGTCTTTGGGCAGACATTGGAACTTTGGGGGACCTGGTTGGGTTTTTAAGGGGGTTGTCAAGCCCTTAGGGCAAGGTTGAGTCTTGGGAGGCTCTTTGGACTCATTGGGCCCCCCTGGCCAGGCCTTCAACGTGATCAATGGGGGCTCTCACGCGGGGAACAAGCTGGCCATGCAGGAGTTCATGGTGCTGCCGGTGGGCGCCGCGACGTTCCGCGAGGCCGTGCGCATCGGCGCCGAGGTCTATCACAGCCTCAAGGCCGTCATCAAGTCCAAGTACGGCAAAGACGCCACCAACGTGGGCGACGAGGGCGGCTTTGCCCCAAACATCCTGGAGAACAATGAAGGTGGGGGCCCTCGGAACACCTGGCTGCCTCCCAGAGGGCCTGGTGCTCCCCTACCCCAGGGGTTGGGGGCTTGGAGCTATTTATAGATCCTCCCTCCCACCCCCGGGGTTGGGTTTCGGGGTCACATCCTGAATTAGTGGTAACTGGAGAAAGGTCATGGGGCAGTGGGGGAGGGGCAGGAAAGGGCAGGGGGGGCCCTGGGTCCATCTGGCTTAGGGGGGAGGGGCCTGAGGGGGCCATGGAGTCCAAGTCCCCTCGGTCAAGGGTCAGCATGGATGGATTTTGGAGACCCTGTGTGGGGATTTGAGCCCAGACCCCTGTGTCTGTCCCCCCTGGGGTGCAGGTTTGGGGGGTAATTGGGGGTTTGGGGGGGGTTGGGTCTCTCCCCCCACCCTGTGGCCGGTGCTGAGTTGGGGTCCCTTCAGCTCTGGAGCTGCTGAAAGCGGCCATTGGCCAGGCTGGGTACTCAGACAAGGTGGTCATCGGGATGGATGTGGCGGCCTCTGAGTTCTGCCGGGAGGGCAAGTACGACCTGGACTTCAAATCACCCCCAGACCCCAAGCGCCTCATCACTGGGGAGCAGCTGGGGCAGCTCTACAAGAACTTCATCAAGGACTACCCCGGTGAGCACTGGCATGAAACTGGGAGGGCACTGGCAAGCACAGGGAGACACTGGGAGGGACTGGGGGGACACCAAGAGGGACTGGGAGGCACCGAGAAGGTACTGGGATGGACTGGAAGGGACTGGGAGGACACTAGGAGGGAGGGGAAGGCACTGAGAATGCAGGTGGGGACTGATGGCTCATACAGGGCTGTGCCTGGGGCCACAGGGTGGTCGCTGTCCCTCTGCCAACCACCAGAGGTGACTGGACCGTACTGGTGCAGACTGGTGGCTGTTTCCCTGCAGTGGTGTCAATCGAGGACCCCTTTGACCAGGACGACTGGGAGGGCTGGAAGAGCTTCCTGAAACAGGTGGACATCCAGGTGGTAGGCGATGACCTGACGGTGACCAACCCCAAGCGCATCGCGCAGGCAGCCGAGGTGAAGGCGTGTAACTGCCTCCTGCTCAAGGTCAACCAGATCGGCTCCGTCACCGAGTCCATCCAGGCGTGAGTCCCCCTGAGAATCCTTGTGCAAATCCCCGTGTAACACCTCTGTCACTGAGTCCATCCAGGTGTAAGACCCCCTGTGACCCCTCGTGCAAATCCCTGTGTAACATCCCCGACCCTGAGTCAATCCAGATGTGAGTCCTCCTGTGGATCCTTGTGCAAATCCCTGCCACTGAGCCCATCCAGGTGTGAGTCCTTGTGTGACCCTCCCCTGTGCAACACCCCTGTCACGAAGTCCATCCAGGTGTGAATCCCCGTGCAAATCCCTGTAGAAATCCCCGTGCAAACCCCCTCACTGCACCCACCCGGGTATGAGTCCTTGTGCAAAGCCTTTGTGTGCAGCCCCTTGAGCTCCCTGTGCACAACTCCCGTGCGAGCTCAGGTCCCCTCTCGTGTCCCCTTCCCAGGTGCAAACTGGCCCAGAGCCACGGCTGGGGGGTGATGGTGAGTCACCGCTCGGGCGAGACCGAGGACACCTTCATCGCTGACCTCGTGGTGGGGCTGTGCACAGGCCAGGTGAGTCCCCTCGTCTCCCGTCACCCCCTGTGTCCCCCAACACCCCTCAATGTCCCCTCTGTCTCCCCAGATCAAGACGGGAGCTCCCTGTCGCTCCGAGCGCTTGGCCAAATACAACCAGCTGATGAGGTGAGGCAGTCCCAAATCTCTGTGTCTCCCCATCCTTGTCCCCAGATGTTCATCCCCCCACCCTGTGTCCTCACATCCCCCACAGGGAGCTGGGGGGAGGCCCCGGGGGGTCCCCAGGCCCATCCTCATGTACCCTGCCCAGAGTGTCCTTGTCCCTGTGTGTCCCCCATGTCCCACCCCTGACCTCCGGGTCACCCCCTTTGACCCCGTGTCCCCCCCACTGACCCCCAGGATCGAGGAGGCGCTGGGGGACAAGGCCAAGTTTGCAGGGCGCAAGTTCAGGAACCCCAAAGCCAAGTAGGAGGAGGAGGGGCAACAAACCCAGCCTGACCCCCCTCCCAGGGGTCGCTCCCCCAACTCCCTCAATAAACTCTGAAGCACCACGAGCCCCCAGCCCATTGGTTGTTTGGTTTGAGAGAGGAGGGAACACAAACACACCCACACACCCCCCCAGGAAATGGGGTTGCCCCCCCAAAACAGACACAGGGACCCTGCCAAGAGTTGAAGCGCTTTATTACTGCTCTCGAGTGTCACAATCATTCTCCCCCACTGTTAAATACCCCCCAGGGGTGCAGCCCCCCCTCCCCACCCCCCCATCACGCCGAGGGCCCCCCAGGACCCCCCCCAGCCCCCCCCTCGTCCTCCGCCTGCCGCAGCCGCTTCTTGGCCCGGATCTCGTTCATGGCCTCCTCGATGGAGCGCGTGTCCCGCTTGTTGGCCACCGGCACTGGGGGGGCAAGGGAAGGTCAGAGGGACGTCCACCGGGACCCCCCAGGATCCCCACAGACCCCCACAGGGAGCCCAAGTTTTTTGGGGCCACCCAAGAGCTCCCCCAGGTGTCCAGGCCACCCCCACTCCTTCCTTGGTGTTGTGGCCCCCCAGGACCCCCCCCAAGCCCCCCACTCACCACAACCATAGGCCTTGTTGGCCTCCATGGTGCGGGCGGCGGCTTTGGCGGCGTCGGAGCCAATCAGGTGCCGGTATTTGTCCTTGTAGTCGTTTGGGGGGCCGGGGGGGGCAGCGCCGCGCTCAAGCTCCGCCTCCTCCTGCTGTGCCGCCAACTCCTGAGGGAGGAGCATCAGCACAAAGCCCTGCCCATGACCCCACCCCCTTTTACAACAAACCCCACCCACTCAGGGCAAAGGGAGGGGCCCTGGGTGGGGCCTAACCCCAACACAGCCACATAGGCCACACCA